TCGGAGCTATTGAGAGGACCCCGCACACACTCATATTTAATCCGCTGCTCGCGGCGTAATCTTAGCGGATTAACACGTCAATGACGTTTAAGCACATGCGAATGTTGAAATAGCAGCCGGCGAATGGCGGGAAAATTCAACTGGCGCGGAGGCTAAAACTGGGGAATCACCGGTCGTATACATGAGAAAAGGACGAGAAGGCAGGTTGCGCTATATAGCTTCTTCGCACGATACATGCCAATAAAACGTTTCCGGGATACGCGAGGTCCTCCGTAAAATGCTAATCGCGCCAATTTCTGACGCGCGCATTTTTTAAGACAGAAGTCGAGACTTCGCGGAAACGACTCGCTGCGCTTCTTCCGCCATCGCGACACGAGAGAATTTCCCTCTGTCGTGAGATAATGACCGGATATTGCGTCTGGGGAAACCTTCATTCACGCTGTATTTTATGCGTGAAAAGTTGAACGACTCTGTCGTAAAATACGAACTTCTTTCTAAACCAATGCTAGGTGATGATAATTAATTTGCCAATTGATTGTGGATGCGCTTTATCCCGAAGAGATATTTGACGCGAGATGTTATTGTGCGGCTACGTCGGTATGCAAATTAGAATTGGATTTTTTTTTAGAATTTGTAAAAACTCTTATATCGAAGTATTTTTCAGAGACAGGAAAAGTGAAAGGCTCGTCAAACACGGTGGGCAAGTTTCGTTATAAATTGCTGTTAATTCTGTCCGTGAAATCGGAAAACGATGAAGACTTTACACCCTGGAATGCCTTAAGAAACAACACAGTCACGCAGGCTGTATGTTATTTTAACATCCGTAACGTTTGCAATATCTTTTGTCTAAACAGTTGTCTCGAGTAAATAGTACATATATGTATCTTAGGACAAACATATGCGAATAAAATGCTGATTTGAAAAAAAATTGATAGTAATTAAGGCATGTAATATGGAAATAGTGTATTAAATTAAACCTTTTCGTTATATATATTTTTTAAATACTATAAGCACGTTGATACGAAGATTTATGTCAAATCATTTATCTCCAATAAATCTAAAAAAATATTACAAAAAAACAGAACGAGAGTTACATCATATATTCGGATAAATATAAAAAAAAAAATAAATCAACTGCTAAATTACACTCCTTTCCAATTAGTCGATATTTTTCATTCGCACTAAAGCAGCTATAAGAGGCCTATCTGGGAAGTAAAAAATTAGAAGCTAATTATACCCGCCGGTCGGTTAATGAAACGTCGCGGAACAATTTACGCGACGCTGCGAGAGGTAAAAATTTCGCCGTCGAGATTCGTCACAGCCGGGCGCGTCTCGATCTCGATTCCGTACAAATACATGCGGCCGAGAAAGATCAATGCCAATTCGAGGCGTGAAATCCAAAAGCAACGAGCGAGGATACGCGGCGGTAATGACTCGTAATAAGCGACGGAGCGCGGCCGGCGTAAGCGACTCGAAAAAGTCGTTAACTGGTCGGAAATCGGTAATCACGTGGAATAATCGACGCCTCTTATAAGTGCTTACGTTTTTGTGCCCCGTATTAGAAAGAGCCCGCGCGCGCACACACGTGCGTCTCACCGCGGGTGTTTCACGCGTAAGAAGTGCTCAAAGACGCGGGCGTAGAGTGGCTCAAAGTTGGTCCCCACAGCAGGCCCATCCTGCCCAGGCCCACCTTTTTCTCGGCCGCGTTAATCGGACTCAAGCTGCGCATATCTCGCGGTAATGAGGATTATCCTCTTTCCATGCAGGATCGGATAGTGACTTTTCGGATCCCGAAAAACTTAGAATTTTCATAGAAAAATTACATCTTATCTTTTGATTCCTTTCTTATAGAACAAATTTTATTTCATTTTACACATATATTAGTGATATAATCGAAATGTTTTATAATTTTTTATACTGTATTATACATGTACAAATAAGGAATCAATTGATACAGAAAAACACATAATTGTTTGTATGAAAAAGTATATGGTTCTTAATTTCAATTAAAATGCAGCTTATTTTTGCTTTCAGAAAACTTGTAAAAATCACGCATAAACTTAAAGAATGATTATTCCGTAGTAAAACAAATCTTGCACTCTGTCTTAATTTTGACCAAAAAATATCGATTAAAATATCACATTGACGGAAATCATTCGACAATTTTGAATGATTATTTGAAAGAAGCCCTATAGCTTCTATTTTCACACGTTTTTCTATATATGGCACACCATAAAGTCGTGCTTACTTCCCTGGAACGCATTCGCCGAACGCGAACGAACGTACGAACAAACGAACGGGATATCCTAATCGTACGGTTCATTATGAGCGCCGCGCACGCTCGCTCGCGATGACTATGACTGATGCCGCGGCACGACGAATTGCGATGCGCATTACGAATAAATATCGCACTCTTTGCTCCGCTCGCGCGTCTAATGCGGCCGCTCGCAGATGTGGCCGCCACTTGGGTGGGTTTCGAAAATGTGTGCACGCGGCGGCGGTCGGCACAAAATAACGCGCGATTAAATTAAATTGGCGAACGCGCGGCTTTTCATCAGATTGCGCGATAAACATATGTCGGCGTGATGTTGCCCAAGACGATCGATTTATCACCGCGATCAATCACCGCCGTCCGCCTTAATTCCCGCGGTGTTTAGCGCCAATGATTTGAATCCTACGCGCTCGAACACCGCAACGTAAACCGGAAACCCGCGCGATTGAATGAAATTACGTACTGTGTGTGAAATCGCGAAACGCAAAATCGGACGTGCCAAATTGCGGCGCACGCTCGGATTCTGTTACATAATGCAACGAGGAACCAAGCAATGCGCTAAAGATACGTTACTCTTACACGGTGAGATTGTGAGCAAATAAGATAAATATAGATTATGGATCGGCAGATGGAATCTTTTACTGATAAATTCATTTTCAAATCAAGACGCAAATTATTTTAATATAATTATTAAAAGTATATTATAATATACAGTAATATAGTATATGTATATAGTAAGATAGTATTTGTTAAGTTAAAAGATTATGTTAGAAAGTGGAGAAAAAATTGTTCTCTCTGCCACGGATTTTACTTTTCTTAATATAAGTACGGATTACTATAAAAAATTATCACAGCAAGTCTACGATTTTTTGCCAAGTTTGAGGTACTACGAGGCACATCAGACATTTCAGTCGATACAATTTTTTTAATCACTTTACGTAACTTTGTTTCCAAGTTTAATAACAAAAGGGAGAAAATATAATCTTTAATTATATCACATAATCTGTGCAAAGACGAAGGAAAAAATCGCGGAAGCAAAACAAAGGGAAAAAACAAATTTAATTTCCAATTCACGTAATTTAAACGAAGGTCAAATGAAGGTCGCGGAAATATCGCGATTACGCTCGCACAGGGCGGCTCTCGGCGCGACGAGCCAGGACGAGACGAGATTCCACGCAATCTATCTTCGGATGCGCTGGTAGCGAAGAAAGAGGGCATAATTAAATTAAATTAAGCTCGGGACGAACTCTCGGCCTCCTTCCGTGACTTCCTTCCCGTCGTTCTCGCCGCCTACCGGCGGCGATAGTCGCTCGACACTACCTTTATTTGCAAGCAATTTGTGCTCTCGCGGATCGCGCGGCAAAAATCCGAAAATAATGCTCGCGTATTAATCATACCCTCCTGCGTCTTCGTGACGGCTCTTCCTCCGCGAGGGGTCCTTTCGAGGGGTAGGAAGGGAGGACGCAGTCTCCTCCCTTTCCTCTTCGCCGATGTCCGCAAAAATGCGTTCCCGTTCGTTGCCAGTGCATAGCACCGCGCAATCACGTGCGAGAGCCCTTTGTGATGTGCGTGAGGATCTTCTCTCGGGCGGCCTCGCGCTGTCTGAAATCGAGTCCGAGGAAGCACTGCAGGACGCGTCAGCTCTTTAGCGCCTTTGCTAAATCCAGTCTTGACGACGAAATTTTAATTCTATTGGAATTTGTAGTCGCAAGCGTAAATGTATGTAACGTCAGTTTTTCGATGTTATTATGTCCACGTTTGTGTGCTAAGGCTAAATTTTAGTATAAGTGTAGATCAACCCATTGCAAGTTGAGACACAATTAAAAAGTAATAAATTAGATCTCTTTAAATAAATACAATATATAAACATGCCGCTTGTATGTATGTGTCAAATTATCAAATATTTAAACGGAAAATAAAAAATAATAAACTGACAGTTTTTGCTCACTTTTTGCTCTTTATGCACTTTTAATTATCGGTGTTGTATGTTGCGACAAAATGTTTCCGTTGAATTCGATTCTATATACACAACATATATATATATATATATATATATATATATACAATAATCGAGCAATCTGCAATTTCGTGACCGCGTACTGCAGTAGAAACGAAAGCGCAATTAGCGTGATATCGTTATGACGCCGGCGAAGTGGTGGTTTTATAAGTACGTAATATCAGAAGGCGATTGCTAATTATCGTGAGGAGGATGAGATAAGCGGTTGCCGGCAGCCACAGCGAAAATGGAGTTTAAACGTCGCGTAATCTCGTGACCGCGAAAGCCTACTGTACGATTAAGCACGATATCGTATACTTAATTTCCCTAAACCTGACATTTCTTACTGCACTTTGCCGCAGCGTATTTGCTACCAATTAGTGTTATTAGTAATCGCAGCAGGAAAACTGGAAAGGCTATATTACGAGAACGATGTTAAACGATGATTTTGCAATTAGAATAATATTTCAGATAAAAACAGTTTTAATGTAAAATAAGGATTTATTTTTTATGAAATTGTCTTAATTAGATATAATGTCATATAACTATCTTAATAGTATATAAAATGAGTATTACTTTTTAATTTTCGTACAAAATGACAAAGAAAATGAAAGAAAAATCTGCAAAGTTTGTTTTACATTAAAAATATTTAAAAAATAAAATTATAAAAAAAATTAATTAAGCCTAAATATTGTTAAAAGTATAAATTAAAATAAGTAAATACATTGCAAATAATTGCTTTAAAATGTTTAATCGATGTTTCACAAAACATTTAATACATGTCATTAACGTGTCAACATTAGATACATGCTTATTTACAATCGATCGCAAACACGTGCAAATATTGTGTTTACGTTACAATGTCGAGACAAGAGAAACGCAGGGAATTACTTCTTTGGCTTCTTCAGGGGTCCGAGACCGCTGTCGTACTCGGAGGTGTTAAGCATCCTCGCTTTCTTCAACAACCCCGTTCTTTGCCCGTCACCGTTCTGTTTTCTCCGCTCCTTTTGCGGCACCCCATCGGATCTAAATGCGAAAGAGAGAGGGAGAAAGTGAGAGAGAGAGAAAACGCACCCGGCGCGTACTTTAATTCTCTCGCATTAGGACTAACCCGCAATTTTCGGTAATTCGACGTAAACGACATGTGGTGAGGACAGAGCGCGATAATCGGAAATTGTGGAAAAAAAGAAGAAACGGACGCGTCAGAAAAAAGCGACGATATGCACCCGATATATACCGGGGGACCTCCACCAACTGCCGTACCAAATTTCGTGTTCGTCGCTTCGCGTTTTTGTCTATTGCTCCGCGTCACGCACGAAGTGCGCGTTTTATCTCGCTTTACAATGATGTCTCTCATTTAATCGGTATTTCACACACATACATTCTATTATGCATAATGATCGATGATGTTTTTTTTAACTGTATAAGGTATTTGTGCGTACAAAATATAAGAAATAAAAAGAAGTGAAAAATATTACATCGCTATCGGAATGAAATAGAAATATATAAAGTGAATTTAAGTTCAAAATAGATTAATTCTCAAAGTAATTTGGATAATTTAGTTCCACTAAGATAAGTAAAATTATTTTCGATTAACAGAGGTACGAAAATTAAATATATTCAATCAGATCTTAAATAGAATAAAAAAAGTACTGTTCTATTTTTCGCACATATATATAAAGATGAGATCAAGTTCAATATCCACTTAAAAATAGAATCCAATAATCAAATTTTATTTTCTAAAATTCGAATAATGCTCATAAGAAGTAATTGCAAAATAATCGAATCTAGAACAATTATATTCAAAATTTAGATCGAGCACTTGTAAAATTCTAGATACTCGCCCTGTTTCTCTATCGTAAAGAATCTAATTTGTTATAGGTAATACTCTAACGCTAAAATAAAAACAATACTTGCTATACAAATCTCTCATAAATATTAAAAGATTCGAACTTGATACCGATCTATGGTTTGTTTTTTTTATTGCTGTATTAATCAACTAGTGCAGGTTAAAGTAAACCAAAATATATTCGTCTCATTTTAACGTGTTGCACCAATGTGCATTAGTTCACCAGTGCAGCAATAAAGAACAAATCCTATTCATAGAGATTCCTAGAGAGTTCTCCTGTCCAGGTTCGAGTCTACTTGAGAGTAGACTCTTCTTTTTCTTCAAAGTAATCATACAGAGTTCGAAATCATAAAAACAAATTCGAATCTTGTAAGCTACTTAATCCCATCACTACACATGTGCAAGCTCAATTGGATATTGATTATTCCAACTGTACAAAGTGGTGATGCGCAAATTGATGACTCGAAATTTCGCTTCTGCAATGATCTTGCAAATGGATATTGCAAGAAGTGAACCCACAGGTATGCGGGTTCACATTCGCGGAACGCACTTGGGCAAAGATACGCACACAGACGCATAGGTAATCGCATCCATAGAGGCGTAACACCGCGGTCGTCTCTCGATCCATTGGACCGTCAGCTCAGTGCCCGCCTTTCACCCATTAAAACTGACTCGCTCTCTCCCTGTGCGGAGAGCACCAGTCGGTTGCCCGTCGTGTTCACCCAAAGCACGCCCATTCAAATCGCATTAAACACGTTAATGTGTAATGCCGGTCTTGGGGGGAAAGAGATTCGCCGCGCGTAACGCGAAAAAAAGGGCAGCGCAGCCTCGAGAGAGGAGACGCAGAGAAAGCGAGAGAGAGAGAGAGAGAGGGACAGAAATGAAGAAGAATATGGCAGGGAGTGCGCAGGCAAATGATCGTCGGAGAACACAGGAATTATAAAGCTCGGTAAAAACGCAGAAGGTGGTCCGCAAGTCGTGTGATGTAGACGACGTGATACATGAAGCAGAAAGCAAAGGGTTGTGGTGTAGAAATTAATAAGTACGACGCTGTGGTAGTTAGACCTGACTCTCTCGTTTGCAGTTGTGATAAAAGGAAGAGTAGCATATACTTTGTGGTGAGCGGCAAAATACCTTAACGCAATCACGCGATAAGACTGATGGTTTTTTTTTTTTTAGATGTAATTTCGGCGAGTTCATATTTTAACACCGATATGTATATAAATGATATATAGATAGTTCCTATATATATTTATTAATAAATATAAAAAATGAAACAAAGTAAATAAAAATGCGAGAAACATTTCTGCGCGTTTAAAATTCAAACAATGAATAGAAGGCGAGAAAGAGGTTTTCGTTGAAAAAAATCAGGGCGCGCAAGAGGGTGCACACGAGCGAGAAGAAGCAAGCGCAGGTGAATAACAGTTCCAGGATTTCGTGAACGCGAGCGAGAAATGGGGGCAAAGAGAGGAGGGAGGCTTGTGCTTGTCTCATGGTTTCCGTAAATGGCGTAGCCACGGCCGGAAGTGGCGGTCGCATCAGTCTGTTTAATAGCCGTATTGTATAATTATGAACAATGGAGAGAGAGAGAGAGAGACACGGAGGGAGAAAGAGTGAGAAGCCTAGAGAAGGGCAGAAACCAGCAGAGTGCCATGTGAAATGCACACCGCTGAAGATAAGAGAGAGACAGATGGAGAGAGAGAGAGAGAGAGAGAGAGGAACAGAGTGAATGAGACACATTTGTCGCGAGCAAGCGAGACAATGCGTAGTTTAGTTGGAGTGAAATGGAGGATACACGGTCAGGGGAAACGCGCGCGGAGAACACAACGACGAGCACGACGAGAGCCGTATGGCTTATGGTCACCAGCCACCGTAGAACACGTCCGCCCGTTCGTTGTACATGACGGATGACACAGAGCGACAGTTTTGATGCGTCCGCCAACCTCTCTAGAAGCCGCACGAGCCATCCTACTCGCCATCATGTGCGTGCTTTACGTGATATGAGGAAGGGAGGAGGCAGAGTCACCAGGGCGATAGTTAACACGCTAAGCCACGCGTGAATCCGTCATTAATACCGTCACTCCGGAGACGATGGGCTCATGGGCTTTGCGATCGCGCGGTTCAAACGTTATCAGCTGAGCGCCAATAGACCTACCTGTTTGTGACGTGTCTCTCCCAAAATGGAAACATTGGGTTTGTTCTTTATTGCTGCACTGATGAACTAGTGTACATTGGTGCAGTAAGTTAGAGTGAAACAAAATATATTTATCTCATTTTAACTTGTTGCACTAATTCATCAGTGCAGCAATAAAGAACAAACCCATTGTTTGCCGCAACTATGAGTCGCTTCTAGGGTTTGCGCTTATTACGCAATAATTTAATATGGGAAATAAGCGAAAGCTTCTTTTTAAGAAAAGAAAACTTGATACTTACGGCTTGTGTAAGCGGTTGTCGTGTTTAGGTTTCGAACTTTCTTTCTCGCGTAGGTTCTTGTTGATTCCGCCGATTCGTTGCGGCGGATCCCTCAATGCGAAACTCTTGGCATAATGACCCAAATGAAGCTCTTTTCGATTGAATATCTCACGCATGTCACGTGGATAACTTGAGTAAAAACGGATCCATGAGGTGTACGCTATACGGTAGAAAATTATATAATGTGTAAAGTAAGACAATTATATATCTTTCCAATCACTCGTGCTGCAGATATAATAAAAGACATTCTAAAGTATAATTATCTCACAATAATTGTACTTACAGTATAAACGAATAAATATATCTTGTTATGTTTCAAATTTTAATTTTGATTGTCGCCGATTAGTCAGCACTAATAAATTTATTTTGAAAAATATGTAAATTTCTATTAAATAATATAGAATTTATTTATAAACTAAATGATTGATTTTTTCCTGAAAATGATAAAACTGAGATGCAACGCTTCAGTGTCAAAAGTCGAGACACTCGTCTCGTCTACGTTTAAGAGGACACGTGCAACTCGGATGTAATGATCAGTTACGTGTAGTGCGCCCTTATTAATCGCAGTTCCATTAAGTGGTTCCACGGGGGGTTGGACCGCGCCCGATTCCAACCTTGGGGTGTGTGCGCGCCCCGTAGCGGGCTATTAAGGGGCATTAACGGTAAAGGAGGGGTGGTCGAGTCAAGTGCTGCAGCTAATAGTCACCCTCGCGTCTCTTCTTAACGTCTCTTGCTTGTGTGCACGGGTGAGAAACCCGGGGGATCTCTGGTCCTGAGAGAACTCGACATGTGCACTGTCGACTGACACGGCCATGTTTCGTGCGAAAAATCTCTCGATCCTGGCAGGGCAAATTCCGAATTTGATCCCCGGCTGTTTATCGCGTATACAGATCGCCCAATTTCTGAATGTTTTATGAAATATGAACCGATATTAAACCAGTTATTTTATACAATTAAGAATTTATTATAATGAGTGATAGTAGATTAGAATCTGGACACATAAAGAGAAGAGAAGCAATCTTTTTTTATACAGTTACTTCTTCAGTATTAAATATTCTTGGACTTTGTCTTTATATCTATAAGATAACGTGGCATATATTTTTCACTTGATGACAGGGACTGAATAGATTTACAAAATTAGATATGAAATGGCTTAATAAAAGCCAGGCGCAGATATTAGGCGCATATTAACAAACTTGTTTTTCAAATATCCTCTAATTATTTTGAACGTTTCAGTCCTTTCTTTGGACCAAAATCTTCAGCAGATCGACTAAGTAAGTGCTTCTAATTTTCATAATTCAGTCTTATGTCTCGACGATTCTCGTCTTGATTTCCGTCTGCTTCCAATCTGAACTCCTCCCTTTCGTACATAAGAAACCCTGCTGAAGTCTTTCTTACGGCTTGGTGTCAGCGTTGGAAAGGGAGAAATGTTTTTCTCCATTTAACACATAAATCACACGTGGGGGCGGTGTCTAGCTGAGAAGTCGGGGCAACGGAGAGAACGAAGAGAGAAGGAGGAAGGGATGTAAGAGTGGAATAGCATTGTTCCTAAGTGATGTAACTGCGTCTTATTGTATTTGTATCCTGTATCGCATTGTTAAGAGTCTCTCGCCACAAAGCGTAAGTGGTTTTGGCGGAAGTCACATTCAGTGGTTGGATTGTGTCGGCCACCTCCCCCTGTGAAAGGCGCGCGAGCGATATACACTGAATTCGATCTAACTTGCGACGAGCACGGAAGATCAGCACCAAGACTATTGTGACAACAAAACTTACGTAAAATACTGTTCTTTTTAGTCAAAAAAATCCGCTATTTTCTGAGAAATTGGAAATTAAATAAAAAATGTTAAATATATAGTAAATCTAAAACGTCTCAAACTCATAAATGTGTATTAATGTCTTGATATATTACGTGTGATTAAATGTATCACCTGACTCAATTTTTATGCACACATTATTTCGATTAATACAAATAATCTCTTAAATAATTTGATCAAATCAAATGACATCTAACAACCTGAAATACAATAGTTAAGCTACGATATTTAAAAAAATATTTGCAGAGAATTACGATGAATGGAATATAGTGTCGAGCACCGACACGAGGCTCAAATCGTATATATGGAATGGAGTAGATGAATCCCTCAGGTTAGTGGCGAGGGTCGCAGCTAAAGGGGGTTCGTTCTATAGAGCTATACTTGCTATTGAAGGCTGTTCAGCTCTATTGGGGTGATAATGTTACGAATTAGCGAGATTTCCACTTCTCCGCTCGCGCATCGACCAGTCTCCGCATCGGTCACGAATAATATAAATTTCGGAATTGTTGCGAAGGATAGTGTTCACGTTATTTTTCACTGTATTTCTATTGCACGAGCGTTTTTATGAACTTAATTCCAATATTAAAGTCTATCTTTTATTTTACGACTCGTATAAAATATTATATACCATCGCTGACTTAAGTACAACTGATTTTTTCCCCGTTACTACCTATAAAGTACACGATCACACAAAAAATTAAGAAAATGCAAGTAAAAATGTAGTTAAATATCTGAAAAGTAATTTTGTAAAAAAAAAAAATATATCTCTTTAAAAAATTAAAGCATCTTAGAAAATACAAAATGCAATTTTTACTTTACTTTATCTTCTTAAAAAAAAAAAAAAAAAAAAATAAATAATATATGAAACATTTTTTAAAACATAAAAGTACCATTAAATATTTATGTAGTCACGTTTTTTACTTGTTAGAAAGAAGTGTTCTTCTTTTCAATTAATCTTTAATGTATAATTATTTTTGTCGATATATCTGAACAAATGCATGATAAACTGTGAAGACAAATAATCTCAATAGATGTATCGAGAGATGTGTCGACTAATTTGTTATTCACTTTCTATACTTTCCTCTTATTCGCCTCCCTCCTAACCTCGATCCCATGCGAAAAGTGCAATACCGGGGTCACGAGCGATGGCAGCAATTAATCTATCAATCACTAGCTACGTGCGGAGGAACGGTCAAGTGGTTAGCTGTGTAACGTCACTCAAATCTGGAATGGCTAAGCGCTCAAAAACCGTGGCTAACCTTCGTGTAAAGCCCCGGCTGATGCGGGACAATTTCGAAGCTCGAAAACCTCTTAGAAAGATTAATGGTCCCGAATTTCCTTTTTGGAATTGCTCGTCGCTCGTTCGCGCGGTTATCGCAATCGACGTAACACAGTCGTTAATGCACTTCCGCGAAAATAACCTTCAAGAATTGTTCACATTGCTTTTGTGCTTTTGTTATCGCCTTAACAAAAGATTAATTTTCTCAAGATTTTTCAAACGCGCGATAAAGAGAACCTTCATATTTATAAATGATATAGAGCTTCTGTTTTAGCTCTATACATGCTAAATATTTTCGAGAAATATTTTAAGAAACCAAGCAACAAGTTAATTGACGATATATTTATATAAAAGGAAGATTCATGTGGGGGAAAAAAGTCATCGTGAATATGAAAAGCTAATGCCTTCACTTCCGCAAGTATTAGGTCGAGTATAATGGATTTATTATTGCAGCAAATAAATTCCTCTCCGTAACGACCCTAATAGAGTAACCGTGGCATAGCAAACAGGATCATCCCTCCCCGTCGATAGACTATGTAAATATCCAAGTGGCGAACGAGGCAAATGTGAAGGGAGACAGAATAAGAGCCCTATAACGTGTATGCGTAGGGGTTGCTTGCTTTATATGCGAGTGGGGTGCCCGGCGGAATTGACTTAGTCTACCCTGAAGTCAGCTCGCTTTCGTTACAATCCAACTGCATCAAAGTAGATGTTCGCTCGTGTCTCGCAGCTCCTCATCAACACTTTGCCTCGCACGTTAGATTTAAGCTTTTACTACACGCACGCCTCTTAAAATATATACAATATATATATATTCATGTACAAATACAGTAGTACCTGACAATATCTGACTTATTACATCCAGTTTTACGCGTTTCCTCTGATAATAACTTAAGTTTATAAAAATTAAAGATTACAAAAACACTTTGTAACACTTACCTTTACATGCTTTCGCGCCAAGTTTCTTATCCTCCATAACTAAAGTTTCAAAATCGTTTTGGAGAGCGACAGCCGTCGCTTGTACGGAGTTGTGCTTGGAAAGAGGTCCCAGCAGTTTGTCCAAGACATCGTTCATATCTTGCTGCTTGATTCTAATGCGCCTTGACTCAAGCATCCGCACAAACTCGATTTCCGAGGGCGTCAGAAAGATTGTCGCCGCGCCGGAAGATCCTGCGCGCGCTGTTCTACCGATTCGATGAACATAATCCCTAGCCGAAATTGGCCCCGTATACTGAACGACGCAATCTACCTTCGGCATATCTAATCCTCGTGCTGCGACATCCTGAATAATTGGAAAGAAATATATCTTACATAATCCTGGATGAATTGCATGCGAAATATCTTCCAAGAATCTTCATTCAACTTATACGAGATAAAAAAACGAAACCCTAATAATAAAATTTGCTTGATTTTCGAAGACATTTTATGATCAATCTTTATTCCAAACAGAGACATTTCGGAGCTTAAGATTACTTTTTTAATAGAATTAAATTTGATTTTAAAAGTGACAATTTCTAATAATTCCATTTATATATTACTCATCCTTAAATTATATTTCACAATAAAAGAATATCTTCAAGGATCTCTTCTAGATTAGAGGAGTGTGTCAAACTTGATATTGAATAATTTAAGCAAGATTCGAGAACCTTGTCATTGCGACGCTACAATTTTGCCGGAACAATATCTCCTCGGCACCTTATCCCGCTTTAATGTTGAGAAGTGCTTCATTCCACGAACAAGAGCGACGAGTTTGCGCGACCTGCTGGTACAAATGTCTTACAAACCGCGGTGATTTCTCGTTTTGTGGCGACGTGAATGCACAGCGTGAGTGCCCGCTGGGAGACCCCAAACGGCGAACGTTTGAGCACGGCCCTGATTTCCTGCGTTCGGCTAGCTGATGATTTACCACGGCGAAAGTACTACACCGAGTCTCTCTTTCTCTCTCGATGGGCCTCGAGGACTAAACCCAGACCATCAGTAGGGCCCCAGTAGGGGGCGTCGCGGCACCCCGGAATTCTTTCGCGGCACGATACGGACATATCCGTGTATTCTTATTACATCTTTTCCTGCTATTAATTCAACACACGTCGACGATGGCGCGATCCGGGCGCCAGCTTGAAGGAATAGGAAGAAAGAAGCCTCTATATACGCGGCTTCTCTCGAAATAAATATCTCAGAACGGATATATTCCGTCTAACTCGACCTGTGATTCCGTTATACTTTATATCGTTTAATGAACGTCGATGAAATGTCGACGATTCTTAGCTATTCATTTTGTGTGATTAAGAAAAAATTTAAATAAAGGTAGAATAACTGTATTAAAATACAATCGATACTCTTAGAAAATTAAAATGTGCATTTTATTATATATTTATATAATTTTTCAATGTTTTAACATTAATCTAAAACGCAATTTTGAATTATCTAGGGGCGATTTTATACAAAATGTTCAATTTTAATCCACTACCTTTGAAAACTTTTTTATTTTTGATTGCATAATAAAATGTTTCAAACAAAAATTGTTTGATTTGAAGGGGGACGCAATGATGGTTCTGACATTTTTCTGAAGAGCGCTTTTCATTTGAAAGTTAAATTGAACTATTATAATTTTTTTTATATAAATATATATTTCTAGTAATTTTCAGCATAAAAAGTTATAAGGATTGATAAAGTTATAAAATAGTCATTGTCAAAAATAAAAAAGTTTTTGGAGAGAATCGGTTAAAATTGCACACCCTATTACATAAAAGATTATCAATTTTAATCTATAAATCAATATAGCTTGAAAATGACTTTAAATCAAAAGAAAATTGAAACACAGATGTTGAAGAAAATCAAAGAAGTCATTAAAATATCGCAGAAAAAAAAATTCGACGTGTGGAGGAGTCTTGGATACCTTATTAGATACCAAAGAAAAAAATATCGAATAATTTATACAATTCATTCAAATAATTTTACTCAGCTACAAAAAATGAAATAAAAAACTCCTACGTAGAGTTGGACTTCGTCAAGGAATATTTCATCGATACATACCTTCTTCGACGCCAATCATCCTGTAATCGATGCTCGCAATCGTAGCAAGCGCACTTAGCGCATTAAAACGATACAAGCCACCGGTCTCGCCGTAAAGAGAGAGAAAGAGAGAACGCGGCGCCGAAGAGCGATCGATGGCGGGGCGATTAAGACAAACGATCGTTTAAAGAAAGGGACCGAGGATCGGCGGGATGCAGGATCGAGAACTGATCGGCCGTTCAAAACATCTCACTCGAGCCATAGATCACACCGGTGGATCCGGGATCCAGCGCCGGCCGAGAGCCGCGGATGCTCCTCCTTCGTCGTGGCTTTTCAACGTGGAAATTAATAACGCCGCCGTAAAACCTACGTGTGGTAGCAACCCCGCTAAAACGTGGGCGGCTGCCAGATCGCGAGCATTCCGCGGAGTTCAACATTAAGTTAAATATGCCCGACATTACTCTCTAAGTGCGCGATAAATTATTCTCTTCTTGTTTTCCTCTTGCTTGTATATACCGATGTTGAAAGTGTCGATATACGTTCTACTATGAACAGGGGATTCATTGGTTTGGGGGATAATCAAAATTAAAAATCTAAAATGAAAATTATATTTCGAATAAAAATAGTGATTTGATATTTATTTCTAGTACGCGAAAGAGCTGCTATGGAAACTCGAAGTGTCCCTTTCGGAACAATATCCCGGCAGTGTATCAAGCAAAATTCATGCCGCGTGCACAATTTTTCAGTTCCAACAAAGAATTAATTTTCTACTACTTACTATATTTAATTAAATAATTAATTAAATTCGACGACTTTGAACCTTCTATAAGGTTCAAAGTCGAAAAGAAGTATAGTAATAAATAATGATAGTGAGAGAGAAAGAAACAATGTGTAAATAAGATACTTAAGCGTTCTTTATAAGAATGAATAACCATACGGCATTGAAGATGGTTTAATCTACAACATCAGCATAACGCAATTATAAAGAAAATCGTGCAAAAAAGCCGCATATAAAAAATAAAATTAGCAGGAAAGATGTTCCTCATTAAGATAATAAGCATCAGAGCGTGTTATATAACATCTAGTCTAGATCATCATAAAATGGGTGCACGGATTTTCAAATGTTTTTCTTTACATTCACGCACTTCTAAAGAATAAGCGAGTATAAATATATTCGACCGTAGCATTAATCCTTCCGTCTTTTAATTGCCTTACTTTGCTATATAATTTCTTTATTCTAAGTTTTTAACATGTTCATAAAAATTATGACGTGATACGAAAAAAGCCCAAGAATGAATAAAATTGAAAAAGTATAGGTATAGCTTGCAAGAAGTCGTTCAAAGTTTGGCGCAAACAACTTTATATTCAATTTTATAAATTTTGGTTTCTTTTTATTTTGCGCTACTCGAATTTCTCGACGCGATTTGAATGAACGTTAATTAATTCTAACGTGTGTATAGGGTGATAATAAAATATAACAGAAAAAAAAGGATCTACGCAATTTCTTCGTCAAACTGATTACTGAAAAAGATCGCCTGACGAGAAGGAATTAATTTCCACGGCGTGTAAAGATTGCTACTTGTTCGCGTGATGTGGACAATATTCGCAAAATTTGTCATCGAGATTTAATCGTTTTTTTTCCTTTATGCGTTCCGCTCGCGATTAGAGTTCCACAGGGTAGAAAAAAAAACAGAAAAATTTTGGAAAAAATTTTTTTTCGGTTTTTTCCGATAAATTTTTAGTTTAATGTATTATGTCTTAGCAAGATGTTATCTTTGTAGTTAAGTCCAGCGGATTAGATTATTGTAGAGACTATCATTATTCTGAGAATAATTAGTTAAAGGTAAAAATACGTAATTATAACATGTGTAAAACAGAACAGACTAACAATAAGAAGTTAATTTCAACCATAGTAAAAATATTACTTGAAATAAAATAAATAAGAGAGAAACAATACTTGTCACAAATTTTGAAAATACATATGCATTACATATATTTGTTACTACAATCAAAAATGTGTTTTTTTTTTTTCGGGAAAAAACCGATTTTTTCCATAATTTTTTTCACAAAATATATTTTCCCGTTTTTCTAGAACTTCTATACTCGCGATACTTTCGAACACATAAAAGCACTACAAGAGTATATTTCACGGTAAAATCTAAATTAGTGGATAAGAAAAGAGTAATAAGATCATCGCGTTTTATTTTCGACAATCCCCGTGACAGAAGTCCCTCCCCACAATACGAAATCGATCGCTTTCACCGGTAATTACGACAGTTAAAGCAGTCGCCGAGAGTTCAATGCGAATCAGAAAGTTGCTCTGTTATTCGACGTCAGATTAATTCGGCCGATGTAATACGGATGTAATTAGCGAGACGGGGAAAGAAAGTTATCCATTACTTGGCGAACATTATAGCGTCATGATTAATTATGCCGTTCACAGAATGCAATTAGCGAAACAAGCGCTTCTATGAATATATTATAAATATATTTTAAACCGTATTAAAAATCGAGTAAAAAATGTATATAATATCCTTTCACTCTGGTGGACATTTTGTTGACGGCACGATATTTGTTTCGTAAGAAAATTAGCAACCGCTTATAGATATATAATTAATGTGTTATACATTATAAAGTTTGAATTGCTAAACGATTTCTTTAGAAAGCGAAGAAAGCACAGAACGGATGATCATAATTATACTCATTACTAAAGCCTCATGCACCGGTATAATTTTTAACCTCTGAACGCAGCGTGGGTCCAGAGGTATTTAATTTCCTTTCGAAAGAATAAGTCATGGAGAGTGTGTGTAATTTACAGCTTAGAGAGTGCTGACAGATATCCTCGACTTTTCTTTTATTTTAATATATGGTATACTCTCTCCTTACTTTTTAATGCTCTTTTAAAATTATATATAATTTTATGTAATTTTATATATATATATATATTTTTTTATATTATTTTATATTAATTTAAATTAATGTTTTATATTTATTTTATATAATTTTTAATTTTATTTAATATATTGATACCTCTGAAGTAAAGCATTTTAATAATATGCAATATATGTATTTTAATAGTAAAAGAATTTTAAATATTTATGGAGATTTTTTTAATTAAAGGAATAAGGAAGATTTATATCTACATATCTCAGATAAAGAATCTTTCGACGTGTACTATACATATATCTATTAAAAGAGTAAACAAGTTATAAATTAACATATTTAAAAGTGCAATCAAAAACATGAATATGAAATTTCAGGATATTTACTAAACGACACTTAATGTTTATTTTTATTCACTTTTAATATATTAATTTAATATGTATTAATTCAGTTTTTATAAATTCCTACTTTCTCTGTATAAATTTTTATATTTTATATTATTTTTTTAAATTCTTATTTTTGTATTTCTATTTTTGTTTACACGGTTACTGAAGATAGTCCAAAGGACGAAATATTTTAAAAACTAATAAATTCATTAATTAATAAATTAATAAAATTTTTTTATGAGTTTTTTTTACCAGCGCCTATATTTCGCGTTTGCCTTCTTATTTGTCTTTTTTATCGATTCAAAAGAATAAAGAAAATCAAAACGTTCGCAAAAATTTTGTGAACATTTTCAAAGTAATTTTTAGTAATTTTAAAATATGACTCACCGTGCACAGTAGTACGCCACTCTTCGTTTGACTGAAAGTTTTGAAGACCTCCGTCCTTTCCTTCTGCGTCATATTACCGTGTAGTTTAAAGAATTCTACATCAACCAGCGGATCAGAGTCTTCGTCATCGTCATCTACTGGTTTCGTAAGGACAGAAGACAAAATTTCGGTATGATAGTCCACCATATCTTGGGTGGCCATAAAGATTACTATTTTATGTTGCCCAGGAGTCTAAGATAAAACACCAAAAAAATATACAAAGTTATAGTCTACATAAATCGTGAAATTGCATTACTTTTTTTTTTAAATAAAAACCAAAAATAGTTCCTTACCTGACATCTACTGACGATGTAAGCGCTCAAAGTGACCATTCTTAATTTAGGTGGAGTGACTATGTAACTCTGAATTACGCTTTGTGGAACTATCAGATCTTCATTGATCTCGCTGGTATCTCCCCCGCTCGTTACTAAATTCTCTTTAGCCGCGTCGACGAAAATCGGATTCTGCATCGTGAGACCCGCCAATTTTTCAACAGCTTGCGTCAAAGTCGCGGACAATAAAATTGTCTGTCTTCTTGGTTGATTACAATCTCGCTCAACTTTTTGAATATTTTCCGCTTTCGAATCAGACTCTTCTTTTGTATTTAAATATTCTGTATCTTTTTTTCTTTTCTTCAATGAAACTTCTGTTTCTTCCGTAACTTGATTTTCATTATCACTGTCATCACTTGAAAAATACATACGTTTCACTTTATCACTATCAGTGTGACTTTCTTCCATTTTATTAAAAGATTTTATATCATCTTCTTTATCAGTTGAAATATTTTTAATATTTTGTTTTAATATTTTCATAGCGTCATATCCTAAGTCGGATTTTATATCATCTTCTTTATCAGTTGAAATATTTTTAATATTTTGTTTTAATATGTTCATAGCGTCATATCCTAAGTCGGAGCTCGATATTTTCAAAGCACTTACTATCCTAAATTATATAATATATGTCATGTATTAATTATTAATTATATATACTATTATTATATTCTCTTATTGTTAATGAATCAAACAGTAATTAAATAATTTAGATTAAAATATGATAATCTATTTTTCTTTTAGTTGAAAAAAAAACCTACTCAGAAATATCCTTTTCGTATCCCATATCAAGCATTCTATCAGCTTCATCTAATACGAAATATTTAACTTCATTTAATCTCAATGCCTTTGTGTGCCTTATATGATCTAATAATCTACCAGGAGTAGTTATTAATATATTACATCCCTTACGTAATCGAGCTTTTTCTGCTTTTCTCTTTTCTCCACCAATTATATAACCTGGTACAATCCATGTAAAAGGCTAAAATTGTTTATAACATAGTTTTAATATACACATGCAAGTATTATTATAAAAAAAAGTATATTCATATAAATCTAACTCACTTTAACCAGTTTTATAAAACATTCATATGTTTGCAAAGCCAATTCTCTTGTCGGTACAACTACAAGAGCCGATAAGCCACTGTTTCTACTTAATTTTGGTCTAATTTTGTGTAACAGTTCAACAATAGGTAAAGCATATGCTAACGTTTTTCCAGATCCTGTCTGAGATCTGATTAAAACATCCCTAGCTGAAAATATCTCAGGAATTGCTTTTTGCTGAACCGTTGTCATTTTTGTTATATGCATATTTTGTTCTAAATTTGAGATCTGTGAGAAAAAAATTACTACTGTAATATTTAATATGAACATTTTGATTTGAAACATTGACTGAATATAAACACTATACCATAAATGAATGAACATCAAGATCTGCAAAAGTAATCTCTGTAAAAACTGGTTCGTCTACAGGTTTTACAGATCTCTGCCCTATGGTTGGTACATCGGGGTTATTGCCAAATAAGGAAGAGATTTTTCCACCAGTTTTAGGCATTAGTTTTGGAATCTTGTTTGATTCCCTGTAATTATTTACATTCTTTCTTTTATGTTTCTTTTCATTTTTCTTATTTGAGATCTCTATCGTTTCTGTTGTTTCCAAGGTAGATTTCTCAGGTATTATTTTAGACTTATTATTTAATTTATTATCTTTATCAATGTCGTGTGTTTTAGACACATTCTTTAATTGACTTCCAAATATATCAGAGAGTGATTTCTTCTGTTCAATCAGAGTATCTCTCTTTCTTGCTAACAGTGTCTCACCAATATTTTGTTTTGTTACTTTCGCAAAGGATATTGTCTGTTCATTTGTACTATCAGCATTTGCTTTGTTAGATTTCAAATTCTTCTGATCTGTCAAATTTGATTGTTTAATCTTTTCTGATACTGCATCTTCCTTTTTCATTGTTACATCTTTAACTCTAGATAAAATCTGAGGCTGAGCATTTGGAGTAACAGCGTTGGCTTTTTTCAATTTTTTGGCAAAGATAGCTGATAATGATTTCTGTTTAATTCTTTTCTTAGGATCTGTTTGCACATTTACATTTTTTGATTCCTTATTAATCACAACTATATCTTTCTTGGCTAAAGATTGATTTTTCAATCTTTTAATTGAGGTTTTCGTAAACTGTGTTTCCTTCACTTTATTCTATGCACAAACATTTATCGATATTAATTTATCTTTCTATTTTTAATATATCTTTACTCAATTACTATGTATTAATTGTAAAATTTGTGACAATTTTGACATATATTTCGTACACATGTGCACGTGTTAATATCTTAAAATAATCCTAACCTAAGTACTTACATTTCTGGTTGAGAAAACTGGCTCCGTTGTTATATTCAAAGAAATATCCATGTCTTGAATTGCCATGATGTGTACAAAATAACTGGTTTATTAGTAAAACACTTTTTTTACACCACAACGGTTAATAAAAAATACGGCACGTAAATTTAAACACACTTACAGAGCAAGCACATGAAGAACATGTGGCAAGCTGCGAGGATGTGCGCATGCGTGAATTAACTGAGATTCTACATTATACATACACGGCATAACAATATAAGTTTAAACAAGTGATTTTTTCACATTTTTTTATATTACTAAAGAAAAATTTTTTTCTTTAATTATTTTTTAATTATTTCTTCTTTTATTATTTTCCCTATATATATACAAAAGTAATACAAAAATATATATGAAACATATTTATTATTTCTCATTTTTTTAAATTTTACTTTTTCTAAAAAAAAAAAAATTTTTAAATAACTTTTAAATTATTTTTCTAATATTAGAAAATTTATACTTTATATTATTGTGTACAAGCTTGGTACATAATAAAAAAATATATTTTATTATGGCGAGACATAATAAAAATTGGATGCGAATTTTTATTATGTCTCGACATAATTTTAATTCATCGAATTTTTATTATGTCTCGCATTAATTTTAATTCATCGAATTTTTATTACGTCTCAACATAATTTTTTTCATCGAATTTTTATTATGTCGAGGCATAATTTTAATACATCGAATTTTTATTTTGTCAAGACATAATTTTAATTCATCGAATTTTTATTATGCCGAGATATATAATAAAAATTGGATCAATTAAAATTATGTCGAGACATAATAAAAATTTGCTAAATTAAAATTATGTCGAGACACAATACAAATTCGGTTAATTAAAATTATGTCAAGACGTGATAAAAATTCGATGAATTAAAATTATGTCTCGACAAAATAAATATTCGATGTATTAAAATTATGCCACGACATAATGAAAATTCGATGAAATAAAATTATGTCTCAACATAATAAAAATTCGATGAATTAAAATTATGTCGAGACATAATAAAAATTGGATGCAAATTTTTATTATGTCTCGACATAATTTTAATTCATCAAATTTTTATTACGTCTCGACATAATTTTAATTTAGCGAATTTTTAAATAAAAATTCGCATCCAATTTTTATTATGTCTCGACATAATAAAAATTGGATAAATTAAAATTATGTCAAGACATAATAAAAATTGGATAAATTAAAATTATGTCAAGATATAATAAAAATTTATGAATTAAAATTATGTGAAGACATAATAAGAATTCGGTGAATTAAAATTATGTCAAGACATAATACAAATTCGGTGAATTAAAATTATGTCGAGACGTAATAAAAATTCGATGAATTAAAATTATGTCACGGCATAATAAAAATTCGATGAATTAAAATTATGTCGAGAAATAATAAAAATTCGATAAATTAAAATTATATCGGGACATAATAAAAATTAGGAATTATTTTTATACCCAGATATAATTTTAATTCATCGAATTTTTATTAGAGATAAAATTGCCCATTTATAACTACAAATATAAAATTGGTTAAAATCCAATTTTTATAACAAAAAGTGAGTACATAATTAAACTTTATTTTTATCCAAATGTATGAAATGTCTCTGTTAAAAAAACATGCGCGCGTGATAAAGCATCAATATGCGGACAAACTTGATTATCATTATTATACGATAGTAGTGAATCATTAACGCGTCTTCGCTTTGAAACAGCCAAGGTAAACGCGCGCGTGTCGCCCCGTTAAAGAATCGTAGACCTTCGTCTTAGCAGCAGTCACACCGGAACACATTGCTCGACACTGAAACAAATGTTCGTCTCTCAAGTTTGACAGTTATTACTATCGGCGAGGATATTCCGATTACGCGGAGTCAATTTTGAAGATCGTTCGCTCTTCGCGCGTGTGTATGTTTATCTCCAGTCATGTGTGTTTACATTTTTTCCGATGTATCATCGTGCAAGTGTTGTCTGGCAAGGTAATATCATGAGAAGAATGTTGGGTCGCGCTGGATAGAATCGGGCATTTCATGTCCGCATTTCGAGACAGCGATCTCGTTTGATCTTCTCGTCCAGATAAAAGATTCTCATTTTTGCGATGATCGCTAACAAAGTCTGCTGCATCAGCGTGTCGTTGGCGGCGAGGATAGTCGGGGCGTATACGATGGTGAGTCTAGGATTTTTCATCTGGCGCATTTCCATTTTGGAGCTAAGTACACGTCCGACATTTGCACATTGCATTAATATTGAATGTGGGAAATAAAAGTGTTCTTGAATTTTATATTTATCATATATAAACACAGTGTGAGTGAAGTGAAGTATTGGAAAAATATTTTTAACGTTGACGAACATTTACAATATTATTCGTTTGATATTCGGAATTCACAATATCGTAGTATTCTAGTATAATTTTCTAAACATAAAAGTTCTATTTTACGATAAAAAATTTTGATATTTTTTGAAATTAAGATGAGTATATTAATTATATATTTAATTATACATATTAAATTAATTGCTTTCCCTCTTCCTTATTTCTCTCTTGAGGAATAAATAAAGTCCACAATCTATGGAATTTTAGTAGTACTATAGTTCGATTATTTGAATATAGAGATGCGCATAATATTTATTTCATTTTTGAGGCTAAGGACACTAAATTCAATTTGTACATTGCGATAATATTTTGAATGCAGTCGTAAGAAGACGGCGTGTTAAAATAAGTATTCTTGGAGAACGTGCGAATTCTATATTTATCATATAAATACGGTACACGAGTGAAGTCATTCGAAAAATATTTTCGCGTTGATAATCATTTATTTAGAATTCACAATCGCGCGCCACTCTTCAATACATATATATATATATATATATATATATATATATATATATATAGTTAATATTCCAATATATATATATATATATATATATATATATATATATATATACTTGGAATATTAACTTTCTAAACTATATTATTTTATGATGAAAACAATTTTAATATTTTTTAAAATTAAGTACATCTAATTTATATAGGTATAAGTTATATCAATTACTTCTTCTTCCTCTCCTTTAAGAAATAAACAAAATTTACAACGATTTATAAATTTATCAGTGCGCATATTAAAATTTGAAAATTTATATCTTACATTGTCACTTTTCGTTTATTTATCTCTCGCCATTAGTCCATCTCAATTCTAATGATAAACGTGTTGGTAAGCAACTTCTTCTCGAGGATTGATGATGAAGAATTCTTCGAAACCGCCAAGACCTGGGCAATACTGGGATTAAATTGGATGCAAGCTTTTCGATACTCGGAACTGATAAACAGAGGTAAAATCTCAAATAGAAATGCTTGCTTGAATCACTCTCTTTCTCAAAAGAACAATAACGTAACGTGCGTCGTATATGTTTCAGTCCAAACAGCCATGGTGTTCTTCCTGATATATAGCGTTCTGTATCTATTTGCCAGTGCGTATCTTGCTTTAGGATCGATTTCGGTGAGTGTCTCGAAATGTCATAGATTTCTAATTAACTTTAATTAACTTCTAATTATCTCTAATTAACCTTTTACAACTTAATGAGAAAGTACATAAACATTTCATATACATGACATTACTCCAAAGTTAACAAATAATCAAAGAGAGAAGAAAGACTTAGGAAATAAAACTTAATTTCGCTATAAAGTATTAATTTTCTATAAATTATTAGATAAATATAATTCGTAAATAATTCTCTGCAGAAAAATCTTTGACTTTTTAAATCTCTTTTTTTTATTTTAAAAATATTTGACAGTAAAGAATTTTTTACGTACTTTTTGTACAAATGTAGTGTACATGTACGATTTTCATTATTTCCCTCTCGTGAGAAAGGTCACGAGTAGCGACATTCGTTGATCGAATATAAATTCGTCAAACGCTCTTTATCCGCAAGATGTATATTTCGAGCACGTAACAGCCTTGGTCTCAACACACTAACAACTACGCTAACTTCCGTGTACGTTCACAGAGAAGACATAAATGCGCCGTGCCTTGGATGTATTTGCAAATGATTAACATAATAGATCAGACCATAGCGCTAATTGGTTATCTAATACGTGATCGAGAGGACACTGCTTTAGTTAAATCTATGACGTGCAGTATCTATTTAAGTAAGTACAACAATTTCTAATCTTTGTTCAAACTGTAAAAAGATTCAAGATAAAACAAAATCATTCTTGTAAATTTTATACTTATTGCAAATAAATATATATAAATAGATCGCTTTTAACTAGACTTATTTTTGAAATAAATTTAAGATAAAATTATTTAATTTATACAATGTATATCACGTATAAATACATAAAATAAAAATATTTAACAAAAAGAGTATTATACTAATTATAAATCGAAGAATTATTATAATTTACAGAATCTTTCATAAACCAACTTCTGATTTTATAAAGCGTTCTGAATATTAACACAATATTTTATGTAGAGAGAGATAATACGTTTGACAATCATTTCAGTTTGGAACGTCTATTTGTGGACGATTGTGCAAGTCGCTCGCAAACAGTGGTACGAGGAACAGCAGAATCACGTGGAGTGCGAACTAAGAGAATCAGATCCGGATCCTCCATCATCATCCACGAATGGCAGCAACTTGAAGTCGCCGTCCTTCCTCTCGCAAAATTTTTTTATATTAGAACCGTCGACAATTCTGCCTAAAGAAGAGTCTTATTGTTAGAACTGTGGATAATTCTTAAAGGATTCTGACAAAACTGCACGAAGAAATTGTCAGAACTTATAGGAGGATGTTTGAAGAACAAATCCGTGAAATGGAGAAGCTAGAAGCTAGAAGAGGTCTCCTTTGTCACGTTATATTCGACATCGTTATTTGACTACAACTTAAGACTGTTTGCTTTTTATATTTAGCATCTTCATTTTCTAGACATAAACTTACTAACTTTCTTACAAATTGAAAAAGTCGACAATTAATAAATGTCCATCATAGACACAAGCTTCGAATTAATAAAATTTTTGTCTACGAATTTCGCAAAATTACGTTGTTTGACAAAATTTATTATTTTGTGACATCTAGTAGCTGTGATTACGATAGTTTGCTATGATGATTATTGACAAAATAAAAGTTTATTATAAAAACATATAGATAAATGAAATTAAATTCAAATTTAATTAAATCAATGAGAGATATTGGCATAGAGAAACATTTTTAATGTATAAAAAATATAATATTTTTAATCGAATTAATTTTAACTCATTTATTCGTAAGCTTTCACATAATATGTATTTCTGAGAATTTATAAGATGTTAAGACTATTTATTGATTCCCTTTACCTAATGGAATATTCGAGATACTAAACTTCGCTACTTCGGAAGGGAGATTTATAATAATGCGGAGAGTAAAACTTGACATAAATCAGTCGGAAGATGCGACTAATAGAGTGTATCAAACGCGCCCTCGACGGAGTGTGCTTGCATAGAAAATATGAGAAACGGCCGCGTTTTACGTCGAAATACTTTTAAATTTCGGATTCGGATTCGCGCACGCAAGCATATTCGCTATATATATAGGGTAGATCGTCTCTTTGGATAGAGAAGTCGATTTGTCCGAGAATAGCTTCAACTATTCAACAATATTCTTGAGAATAGTGATCGAGCATACAATAGATGATGGGGAGGAAGACTCTCGATTCAATTTATTGTGGATGTTTTGTCGTATTGATTTTGTATAATATATTCGTATATTATATATTTATGCATAGATGTAAAATCAAATAATGGTACATGTGCTATTACATACTGACAATACTTTATTCATTTCAATATTTCGTTATATCAAAAATAAGTATTTTCTTTTCTGTTTATTTTACATATTTTTAAATAAAAGTTTATTTCTAGAATCTTTTAAATTTCTTTTCCCTTTTTATCCAAATATATATAGAAATTCATGTTAAACCATCGTAATTGAATGTTAAAATTTTATTAAAAATTATTTAATAATAAATTAATATAAATTTTTAACTTAATAGAAATTAAATTTTAAAATTAATTAGAAATATTTATACAGCGTACACTTTTATTTAAATATATTTTCATCATAAAATATTAAGAAATAGAATAAAATTTCTGTCTTACGCACATCATAATATAATATAAAATAATTGTTTCAGAGTTATCACAAAACCAATTTTTTTCAACAAAATTCATCAAATCTATAAAATTAATTTTTTCTTATTAAAATATATTGAAATTGGCAAATAAGAGTCGAGAAAAGCAAAAAGAAATATTTTCGTTGTGAACGAAAATCATCTGACCGCGCGGTGAGCTAATACTTCTGGATTTTTCAGTCGTCGACGCGATCCTGTTGCCGGGGACAGACGGGCTTGTGCGACGTGGTTGGTTGCCAGTGCTTTTAAAAAGAACTGAGCGAGTCAATTTGTAGGCTGTCGCAAACTTTTAAAACACTAGTTGACAGCCGTTCCACCCCCGTCGCGACGCCCGTCCAACCATCCTAAAGGATTCCTCCATCTCTCTCGTTCTCCCTTCTCTGTCTCTCTTCGTACCACCACCGAAGGACGAGGCCCACCCCTGCGTGTCGCGGGAGCCGATGGATTGTAAAATAAAACTAACTTGGCTCTTTCGCGTGGCTCGGAAGTACTGGCGAAATCTCATTCCCGCGGATCTCTTTTATTTTCATGTACCCCTTTTTCCCCTGCAAAAGAGGGAGTCCGACAGTTGAGTACAATCGGCGAGTCACGTCTGTTCGGAGAAATGATAAAGTTTGCCTTGAGAAGGACCCTTAATGAGACCTTCGTCTTACAAGATTCATGCTTAGTCGTCAAAAGTATCGCAACCCTTTACCATTATCTTGATTCACCGTTTTACCATTATCTTGACGAACCAGTTTGCGCTCTCGTTTGGAAAAGTATGTATAAAATTGTACATTATTTTTTGCTAATATGTACTTCGATGGGATAATGTTTAAACAACATTATCCATGATTATAAGTATTAAGAGAATGTAAACGAATTCAAAGTAAGTTGGTATAATGGATAATATTTACTGCGAAAATGCTTCCCATTTATAAGCGTTTTATGAACGATCCATGCATCAAAGAAACATACATTATTTATTATTATCAAAGAATATCTTCTTACTTTTAAAGGATGGAAACACTTAAAAATATCTGTTAAGTGGGATTTTATGGTCCTTTCAATTCGAAATGCAATTTTTGTGCATACACACTGTCGAATCTTTCAACATAATCGTATTATGCACGTCTCAATACATTCTTCTCTGGGTGATTTTCTTGAAAACCGATTTTACGTGACCTCGTCTACTTCGAGTTCGTATCGAGCGGCCGAAGAAGAGAGAGTATCCGCTCGTATGACACATATAAAACGTAGCGGCAACGTAATTAATCTTCTCACATGACACTTTAGCTGGTTACGGGGGTACAGCTTGCCAAGAACCAGAACACAACATACCACTTAAGCTCGCCGCCTAGAAAACAATTAATACGGAAATTGATTAATAATTACCACGCCCCAATTTCCACACTCCCTCGGACTCTCGCCAGTCACTATATAAGCAACGGAAGAAAAAAAGGACTTGTACATCAATAATTCTGCAAAAAGGACGCGCACGCAAGGTTATTCCGATGAGAGTGTTCCACACAATATTTGCTCATTATCTGTGAATCCAGCTGTAATTAATTTTTTATTATTCAAGCCCAGACAGCAGAGAATGTCCAATGGACGTCCAGTTTTGTTTTTTATTCGGTCCAAACGTTCATGGATATTTCTGCCATCTTTTAACGCTGTACGAAATAATAGGTAGAACTTTACTTACTTTAAAAAATATGTTCAATGTTTGAAACAGGTTCAATTTTAATCTGTTTAGTTCTAGAAAAATGAATATTTTTCGATGGTCCAGAAAAGTAACACTAGACATCTTTAAAATGTCCTAAAGATGTCTGTGCAGAAGTTGTGCTATTTGAGAAGGTATATTTTAAAATCAAACAATACAATAATAGGCCAACTTGCGAGCCGAATGATTAAGAAGTTACAATATTCCTTATTACAGACACACAAATAAAAAGTAATAAAATTAATCCAACAGGAAAAAGGTATATTTTCATAATCTTTTGCTATTTGTTTTTTATAGTTTATTAAGTAAAGGTATTTCCGTTTGTGCATTTAATCGAACACCTTCTATTTGTTGAAAAAGATCTCTTTCGAGAGGAAAGGAAAATATAATCTCGATATAGATATATCTCTCCTTCTCTCCCCTTGAACATTGGATAATATTTCTTCGAACGAGATAATCGTTTCCGCAATTCCCCCACGAAAGCGACCTCAACTTTACGGTGAAATCGGCGACTTATCGACGAAAGTTTAAACCATCGCTCGTTGTTCCGCTCCTTTTGTGGCATTTATTCGAATATATTTGGGGAGCCGTCGATTTGGCATTACTTTTCTAGACAGACAGATTTTATTGATCTGCACCGTGGCGGCTATCTCCCTCTCTCTCTCTCTCTCTTCCCCTTTTTCTATATATCTCCCTCCGCCGAAATAGCGAAGGCCAGGGAATCAGAACGAGATGAGAGAACGGCGGAACTGAACGCCCCATAAAGCTAACCAATGCTAATACTTCTCGTCTCGGCAGTGGCGTCGCTGGCGCGACAACCCGGTCGTCGACTCGTTCCCGACGTCGACGTGGAAAAGCGCACTGTCCCGACGTCACTGCCCCGGACCGGAATTGGCAATAAACGCGTAACCGAGCCTAATTCGTAATGTTGGCCCAGTCATTGTGGACCATTGTGAGCTCCCCGTTCGCCGGGGACGCGGACGAGTATAATGCTGGGGTTATCGCAGGAAACTGCCAGTAACGGCGGCAAGAGGTATGGCTTGTTCTCTCTCTCTCCCGCCGTTCAACAGTCTCTTATTTGAGTTTTATCGCGCTTGCCGCTAAATTGATACGCCTCAACATTGAGATTATTAATTTTCATAGAGCCACCATATTTGCGCCCTCAATCGATAACACGATTGTAGTCAACTTGAAGTGCTTACGCGTTTCAAAAGAATCGCGTTATCGACATGTTGACCTATATAACAATTAGAAAGTTGCTAAAATTCTGGTTAAGCCGTTATTTCAGAATAAGTAATATTGAACAAATTAAACTGTTTTAAAAAAGATTTCTACCAAAGGCTGCTTTTATTAGCATTCAGTATAAAAAAATATATAAAACAATTTGATAATAAAAGTTTAAAAAATACAGTAATCAGCAATATATATTTGTAACAAAAATGTGTAGACATATTTAAACTAATTTGATGATATTTAATAAAAATTGATACGTATATAAATATTTATTAATTTATTATTCATTACTTAATCAAAAATAATTATTATCAAATATAATGATCATGAAGATAAAAATATTGTCGTACAATTGCGTTTATATAATGTTATAAATAAGCAGCCGATATGAAATATTGATATCACTATCGTATTGTATATAACGTAGTAAAAAGCTTACATTACTGTCAAATAGTCAATTAGTGCAGCTATGCTCGGCGAACAAACTCCGGTCGAACAAAATTCGAGCAAACATAATGCCTTGTATGAATTTTTTTTTAAATAGTTATAAAGACGATGTATAATATCAGAAAAATACAAAGACAACAGGTCGACGTCGATAGAAATTAAAGAATAGTCCATAAATATAAGTTTTACAAAGGGATTGAAAATTTTCAATCCAAGAAGTCCCGCATGCCAAGAAGTTGACTCCGCAAGGATCGTCCGCAAATAGGGGTCTTCTGGCGAACGTCTTAGCATATGAATGACCTCTGTCCGACGATAGATATATGATTTTTTTCTCCTATTTCCCCTCGATGGAATAGAGATTTGAAAACACGAATGCCGATGACCGGAGCAGACCTGATGAACAGAGGGGGCGGTTTCGTTCGAAACGAGGGTGGCACGTGTCCTGGCCCTTTGCCGAACAAATCTGGGATGAACGAGAGCAGCAGACAACGGAAGTAAATTTGTGAGCGCGATGGATGGACGCAATGGCTGCGTTTAATAGTACATTAAGCATATCGGAGATTGACCTTGCTGCGTGATGAATTTTTCCTTGGACAGCGGAGCATGTCGAGATATATCTATCCCCGGATAGAAATTTTACATTTATATACGATGTCGAAGAGTGCATGTATTTTCGCTCAACTGAAGAGAAATTTCCATTTGTTTGTACGCACAAAATTTATCTACATGGAATATATGTATACGCAATTAT